AGCCCCAGTAGATAGTTGTATGTCATAGCTGCACATCCTTCTAGTTGCTGTATGTGGGACGCGGCCTCAGCATGGCCAGAGAAGCGGTGCGTCGGTGAGCGCCTGGGATCCGAACCCGGGCCGCCTGCATCGGAGCACGCGCACCCAACTGCTAAGCCACAGGGCCGGCCCACAAAACTACTTTCAACAATATTAATATGTATTATTTTGGGATGCAAGGTATCTGAAGAATATTAAGGGGAAGTTGTTTTTTTAAATTAATTACAGTTATTACTTAAAGTGATTTTCTCTGACCTATTTTTTTTTTTAACCTCTTTTACAAAACTCTCTTCTAGGCTACATGACTCCCTGAAGGATAAGAACAATGTTATGTTGGGGATATTGGTCTCTGGGCCAACCTGGGATCAGCACCAACCTGCAGGGGATTGTGGCCGAGCCACAGGTGTGTGGATTCATATCGGATAGAAGCGTCAAGGAAGTGGCCTGTGGAGGAAACCACTCCGTGTTCCTGCTGGAGGATGGAGAGGTTTACACGTGCGGTTTGAACACCAAGGGCCAGCTGGGCCATGAGAGGGAAGGAAACAAGCCAGGTGAGTGCACCTGGTCTGCCTTGATGGTCGGGGAGAAAGGCTGAGCAATGGGGAAGAGGTGGTCAAGGATTTCTTCACCGAGCATTGATCTTCCAGGGAGGCTCTTTGAACAGTTCAGGGATCCCTACTTTTTGGAATTTTTGTGTCTAATTCAAGCCTTTTGATGGAAAACCAGACTTTTCCTTTTTCATCTTATTAGGTAACGTGTAATATCAGTTACCAGGGGAGGGAAGTTGACTAGTTAGCTCAGAGTTAGAGAAATAGATTTTCCCCAGTAATTGAATGCTAAGACATTATGATTGTTTTTGTGACTAGGTAATCCTCAGACAATCAGTATCAGAAGCACCTTTCCCTAACTTTTCCTCCTAATTGCCTGTTCATTCATTTATTTCTACAACATGCTTTTGTTAAGCATTTTGGGCTAAGTAAGCACTGTGCTTGGTGTTGTGAGTAGAAAGATGAGTGAGAGAGAGTGATGATGTGGCTCCAGGGGTTCCCTGTGGAAGGATGTCTGAGGGAAGTTGAAGAATATGATGGGAGGAGAAGGGGAGGGGGGGATTCATCCTGCCTTTGGGGGTCGAGTAGGTTGCATGAGTAGCAAGTATGTTTGTGTGTGTGTGTGTATGAATGTGGCAGGAACAGCAAGCTTATTGCACACTGGAATGTTCCCAGTGATAATGTCATGGGTATGAAGTGCAATCCTTGTTCAGAGAATGTCGAATAGTGAGGTAAGACTGGTGATGGAGAGTAATGAGAGGGGATAAGCTGGAAAGGTAGGGGGCTAATTACATTCCTTAAGTTTCAGTGTCTTTCATTTATTTATAACAGGTGCTGTGTATATGTAAATTCCATTGGTTTGAATTTTTTTCTTCCCACTTTTTCTCCCTAAGGAATCTAAGGTTGACCTTCAGTATATATGTAGCATGGACCTATGAGGTATTTTCTCAGTCTTGGATTTCAGCTGCATTTGGAGGAGTAGTGATGATTTTTAAATTCGTCTCCTTTTTGTGAGAAATGATAAGATAGGGTATTAAATTGTGGCCATATTGATTTGTCACACTGACATGGGCATATGCCATTTTCTTTGTTACTTGCTATCTTTTTTATTCAATCCAAATCAAATCAAGGTACCGAAGCTTCATTAAAGAACAGCCTTGCTGTTTTTTTCTAGAGGATATGACTCTTGTGTTCATTTAGGCAAGTCAGTTTGGCATCAGGGTGAGCTAGTTTTTTTCTGTGACACTGTCTCCTTCTTTTCTCATATTTATTCCCTCCCGTAGCAAGTGGCTGTGTTCCAGAGTTCCCCTGCCCAAATGTCAGTATTAATTTATAATCATTGATTTTTATGTTGACCATTGGATAAAGGGCTGCAAGCTGGTCTTGAGCAAAGTATGAAGTATGTGAAGTATGATTTGTGGTCTCCTTCCCTGTTCTTTGCCTCCAGATTCCCTCATGGGAGCCCTCCCTGAGACACCCCACCAGCCTGCTCACCTGGAACCCAGTGTTCCAGCCAGGGGATCCCTAACCTGTGCGCCCTGAACTCTGGGGATTTTAGGGAAGGGGTTTGTAGTGTGGCCTGTATGTACATCTTTATATGTACATAAGCCTGGGCCGGCCCCGTGGCTTAGCGGTTAAGTGCATGCGCTCCGCTGCTGGCGGCCTGGGTTCGGATCCCGGGCACGCACCGACGCACTGCTTCTCCAGCCATGCTGAGGCCGCATGCCACATGCAGCAACTAGAGGGATGTGCACCTATGTCATACAACTATCTACTGGGGCTTTGAGAGAAAAAATAAATAAATAAAATTATGTACAATGTCCCTGATAGTGCAGGTCTTCGAATGTAAGTAGATCTTCTTCACTAAAATAAAAATTCAATTCAAAGTGCCATTCATTCCAGTTAGTAAATCCTATTCATTATGTGTTTTACCAATTAATATAATACAAAAGTATAATATACAGCTATTATGGAGGTGGCAGGAAGGTTTTTGACTAGAAATGGCTTTCGTATTGGAGAAGGTTAAAACCCAAGGTCTTCTTTCCCTTCCTCCTGTTTAGACTCGCTTGTGTCTGACATGAAGCTCCTGCTCTTGCTGTTTCCCAGGTGCGAGCCAGTGTCTGACGGCTAGAGCCTACAGAGTGGTTAGAGGCCTGTCGTCGCCCCGCAGCGTGCTCCTTCCTGCAGGACTGAATACATTCCGCCAGGACTTAGGGACACTTAAGGCCCACTTCGCACCAATAATCCTTGAAGGGCTTGTACCCACCTGGCCAGCCTTTGAAGGGGGTATTTTCGGGACCAGGAGGAGACCTTTGCAGCACTCCTGCAGAGACACCATGGTTAGAGTGAACGCTGGAGGCAGACAAATCTACTGGAGGCTTTACTCCTCTCTGACTTGGGATTTCAGAGCCTCAGTTCCCTTTTCTGTAAAAGGAAGAGACTTCCTGTTGCAGTGTAGCTCTTGATGAAGTTGATTCAAATGGTAAAGGAGACTCCACAAAGCTACCTGTAGCCTGTGAAGGCCGCCATCCTCTGGCCCTCATGTCTGTGTGCTCCGTGACTCTGCCTTCTGTCAGGTAGCCTCCCAGCAGAGCAGTCGCTCAGGTGTGCCTCACTGCACATGCTTGTCTTAGAACCTGGGGTGGCGGTGGCAAAGGAAACAAAACCTTGCAGTACAATGATAGCAAAGATCTGTAGAAGGCACCCTGGTGAACACATCTGAGTGCCGCCTGACACAGCTCCATAGAGCTCCTGGTGATGGTTCGTGGCCTCTGGGAGTGAGCAGTGTCGGAGCAGCCTCTCTGCTGCTGCCTGCACATTGGGTCAGGCCAGCGCCTCAGTCAGCAGGCAGCCGCTCCCCGTAGGCAAGCCTGAGTGATTGCAAGAAACTTGTGCTAGAGGTGTGCCAAGAAGGCTTTCGGATTCAACCACTGAATCCAGCCCATGCTTGTACTCTAAATTTGGAATAAGCAAGGCTCTAGTGTAAATTACAAGAGATTCCAGAAATTTCTGTGTTGGTTAAGCTTTTCTGTTAATTATAAACTCCATCGCTGCTGCAGAATAGTGCCTCTCTGAATGGAAAGATTATGTGGGTGGGCGCCTCCCTCTCTTCCTTTAACTTTCTCATTGGTAGGTGTGTTCTAAATCTGTGTACCATTGGGATTTATTTTTAATGAGTGGGAAAAAGAGAATGAGCTTGTTGTCTATATGTGCTTACTGAGAACTGTTAACTGGAGAGCCACTAGGCGTGGAGGGGAAGACAGTGACAGACAGACCCTGTGCCAGGTAGTCTCTGGTGGCGCTGCCCCACAGGACTGCTACCCTCAAATAACCCCTGTGGTATTTGGGGAGAGAGCTTGGTAGAAGGCCACCTCCCCGGAGAGGATGTTTCTGGGGACAATGGACAGATTTGTGATTTCCACTGGACGTCAGTCCCAGACCAAAGGACTTGGCAGTATGAAGGATTAGAAAGAGTGAGGGGAAAGAAAGGTGGAAGAGGTGGTGCTGTAGGGGATGCACCAGGATGAAGCTGTTCTGTTTGAACGTGTGCCTTGAGTCTGTCCTGCAAGTCATCAAATATCGGTTTATACACTTTGTCTCTAAAGGGCACAGCTGCGAGGTACACGGATTCATTTTTTCGGAGGCATCTTGTACCTGTGACAGAGCGGTGGTACGAGGCACTCCACGGTGATTTAAGGGTTGCTTCTTGTTTTCTTCCTTGAGAACATCTAATAGTTTCCTATGGCTTTTGCTGCTCCCGAGGCTGCTGTGCCTTCCTTACTCTCGTTTCTCTCCTTCTTAGCACTGGCCTTATGTATAACCAACTTGGTGGATGTCTCTGTGTGTGGTGGGCAGAGGATGATCCAAGGACACGTCAGTACTGAAACTCCGGGTTGGGCCAGCCCAGGTATTTTCCCAGTGTGTCAGGCAGCCTCAGGTTCTAGCTTAGGTGTGTCCATGACTCATTTGTGCCTCGGGCAAGGGCACAGAGGCCTGTGATTCCCAGAAGCATATTTCATGGGCAGAATATCAAAGCCCCATCTACATTCAATGTCCAGCTTTTTTAAAAAAAGTGTTGGATTGTAACTGTTTTGCATATTCCTCTTCTGTGAGACTTTTCTCTCCTTCATTCTGTCCCTCACGTTGTGATATCAACCTTATCTCCCCCCAAATATCAGGGAAGTTTCAGCGATTAGGGCATTGTAGGATTATTGCTAACTAATTTCCTCATGTTTTTGCCCATGAATTCATCTCTGGATTTCCTAAGACATAGAGTTACAGAGCTACGTTACAGAAAGGCTTGTGTGCCTCTTCATTTTTAATAAAGCAAGCAAACGAAACATCGGTTTTTTTCCAAATGATGATTTTTTATAAGTGATCAATCTGTAACTGAACATTAAGCAAATCTTGAAATATTTTGTTAAACTAAAATAGAGACTGGTTGCCCATAGGAAAAAATTAAAAAATTTTACCTCGATTCACTGTGCTTCTCTCATTCCCACCCCTGCCACATTGTCAGCACTGCTCTCCAGCTAACCGGACAGTTCTCCTTTCCCCATACATACCCTGATTTCCTGAATTGGGACTTTAGCATAAGCTAATCCTTGTGTTATTAGGGATGTCTGAATTTATGTAAACCTCCTCTAACCTTTCTGCCTATCTTGAGTAGGCAAGAACTGGGGAAGGTGCAGTTATTTAGTTTAATCTGATTTGACTATGGTCAGTTTTAAAAATTCTACGTAGACATTCCAGGAAACCTTTTCATGGCAAACCCCAAGGGTAACAATTTATAAGCAGACTCTTAACATTTCTGTGCAACCCTGTTTGATTCATATCTATGATTGGTTCCTTTTACTTCCTCCTAAGTTAGTTCTCTCTTTCTTCCAGGTAATTTAATCCAATTCGAATTCACATTTTGTATTCCATCTAAGCATTTCCATAATGCCCATCACCATATGTAACAGTTCTCCCGCTGTTTGATAAATAAGGTTTATAAAGCAGAA